TGTGTATGTATGTATATATATTGTTGTTATGTGTGATCAAGTCATCTCTGACTCATAGCCACCTCATGTACAACAGAATGAAAGACTGCCCAGTCCTGCACCACCCTCATGATCCCTACTGTACCTGAATCCATCAAGGCAGCCACCATGTCAATCCATCCCATCTTTTGTTGACCCTCCACTTCACCAAGCATGATATCCTTATCCAGGGAATGCTCCCTTCTGACAACATGACCAAGTAGGTGAGACAAAGTCTGGCCATTCTCACTTCCAAGGAGCATTCCAGCTGCACTTTTTCCAGGACTGATTTGTTAGTTCTTTTAGCAGTCCACGGTACTTTCAGCATTCTTCGCCAACATCACAACTCAAAGGCATCAACTCTTCCTCAGTCTTCCTTATTCATTGTCCAGCTCTCACATGCATAAAAGGCAATTGAAAATACCATAGTCTGGATTGCTGTTGTTGTTGTTTCATGCTGTCAAGTTGTGTCTGACCCCAAATACTGGTGATTCTTCTTTGTTTGCAACTTTTGCATTCCAATCACCAGTGATAATCAACACACCTTGATTACATGTTCAGTCAATTTCAGACTGATGAAGTTGATAAAGATCTTCAATTTCCTCATCTTTGGCTTTGGTGATTGTTGTGTAAATTTGAATAATAGTGGTATTAACTGATCTTCCTGGTAGGCATATGGATATTATCCTATCCCTGACAGCATTGTACTTCAGGATAGATCTTGATACATTCTTTGTGATGATGAATGCCACACCATTTCTCTTCAATTTTCATTCCCAGCATAGTAGATCATATGATTATCTGATAAAAATGGCCAAAACCAGTCCATTTCAGCTCACTAATGCCTAAGGTATCGATCTTTATGCATTCCATTTCATTTTTGACAACTTCCAATTTCCTAGATTCATACTTCATACATTGTATGTTCCAATTATTAATGGATATTTACAGCTATTTCTTCTCATCTTGAGACATGCCACATCTCACGTGGCACATGAATGGGGGTCCTGAAAGCATCACTCTATTCACATCATTAAGGTCAGCTCTACTCTGAAGAGGCAGCTCTTCTCCAGTCCTATTTTGAGTGCCTTCTGACCTGAGGGACTCATCTTCCAGCACTATATCACACAATATTTCAGGGCTATCCACACAGTTTTCCAGTAATATATCAGACAGTGTTTCACTGCATGTGATAGTTGGAACTGTGTATCAACTTAGCTGGACCACAATTCTGTGTGGTTTAAGCAGTTGTGATGTGGTTATTCCCATGATGGAATCAGATGAATATGTTTTGAGCAGCCAATCCATTGAAAGGGAGTTTCCCTAGGGGTGTAGCCTGCTTCCAGTATATTTATGGACATCCTGAGAAAAGATATATTCTTCTGTGGATCGGGATTCTGTTGTGCTGCCTACAACTGTCTGTGAGCAAACAATCCACTATTCAGTGTGGAGAACTTGGATTCATCATTCTTTGGAGTCAGCAGCCAGTATACTGTCTGCCAGCCTTGAGCTCCTCAGCCCCTGCAGCTGCAAGAGCTGGGAAAAAGCCTCCAGCTTGATGTTTGATCCAAGAACTTTGGACTTGCTAGCTTCTATAAGTGTGTGAGCCATTTTCCTAAGATAAATTTATATATACACACACACACACACACACACATAAGTTTTACTGGTTTTGTTTCTCTACAGTCTAACACACTACTATTCATAAGGTTTTCACATAAGGCTAATTCTTTGAGAAGTGGATGATTTCTTCCTTCTTCTAAGTCTGTCTTAGTCTGGAAACTCCGCTGAAACCATCCACCATGAATAATCTGCTGGCTTTTGAAACACTGGTGGCATAGCCTCCAGCTTCACAGCAACACTCAAGCTACCACAGCACAACAAACTGACAGACAAGTTTGTCTCCCTTAGCTGTTTCAAGCTGCTCTACTCATTTGCTGGTCTGCCCTGGCCTGATTGCTTACCTGCCCTGCCTCCATGCACACAAACTCTCCCCTTCTGCTGCTTTTGGGGCTGGCTTACCACAGCCTGCCTCCACGCACGCTATAGAAATTTATCTGTAATGAGAGAGAAATTTATCTCAAGGGAATGGCTCATGCAATTTCAGTGGCTGGCAAGTCCCAAATCCGTGGATCAAACATCAAGCTGGGGGCTTCTCCTGACTTACGCAGGTACAGGGCCTCACAAACTCAAGATTGGCAGGCAGTATAGCAGGCTGCTGGTTGCTGAGGCTGATGAATCCAAAATGGGCAGGAAAAATATCAGATTGTTGTTTCACAGGCTGCAAAGGCAACAATCCGAAGATAGGCAGGCAATACGCCAAGCCACTGGTTCAAGTCCAAGAACTGGAGATGATGATGGCCAAATGCAGGATCCAAAGTGAACAAATAGCCAGAGACTTTCCCAACGCTTTTCCATACACACTGGAAGCAAGCCCCGAAGGCAACTTCCCTTCAACTAATCAGGTGCTCACAGCAGATTCCACCCTGGAGGTGATTATACCACATCCAGTCACATCATGGGGAAAAACTGCATCACAACTGTTAAACCACTCAAAATCACGGCCCAGCCAAGATGACATATAACCTTAACTACCACAGATGCCTTGAAAGAAAGGCCTGGTGATCTACTTCACAAAGATCAGCCACTGAAATCTCTATGGAGCACAGTTCTACTGTGCATAAATGGAGTCCCTATGAGTTGAAATATACTCGATGGCAACTAGCTTTTGGTGTAAAAAGTATTGTTCTGAAATAAATTGAATGTGGATACTACTTTCAAATGTGGGTGCTACTTTTGGGGAAATATGTATAAATAACCAACACATAAGTTAGAAAGTAATAAATGACACATGAGCTACAGGCAGTGTGCTATGGGAGTTCAGAGTGAGAAAGTCCATCTGATAAAGAGAACCAATGATAAATCTCAGGACAATTTAGGTTTATTAACGGGCTGTGGCAAGAGAGCCCAGAGGAACTATGTCATTTTCCTCAAGAAGGTAAGAGATGGGATTATTGTAGGATCTGTGAGAGGAGAAATTTAGGTAAGAACCAAAATGAAGGGATGTGTTGAGAGGGATGAAGCAGGGCAGTATGAAAAGGAGTTATCAGCAGGTGGGGGCTGAAAAGCAGGCTAAGGGTCCTAGTTCCTTAGAAACTATGAAGTTCAGATAAAACACAGAATGTTGTATCCATAAACCCCTTATCTGAAACTCTGCACCTGGCTGGGAATCAAGGCTGCTTTCCCTGTTAAAGTGATCCATATGGTTCAGATCCTTCAGGCAAAAGTGGAGATGCTCCATTTTCACTGATATTTACTCGATATTTCCAACAACAAAGTTGCTGACAACCTATGATTTCAGAGAATAAGGTTTTTCTGCACTGGCTCCTTTTCTTCTTTAACAGAAGCAGTTTTCCAGGCTCACAAGAGGAGGCAGAGATTGTAAGGGAAGGCTTCGAGGCTGGGACAGAGTGGGGAAGGTCATAGGAAGTAGATGGAATCTTAAATAGGTAATTGATAATCTGCATAGCAGGGACTGAAAAACGCATGAAAATCCACAACTCCGTGCTAATCATTCATGCTAAACTCCTAGAACCATATTTTTAAAATCAAAATATCCAGTAATTGCAAACTGACTGATTTGATTTTGAGCCTTTCACTTCTTTGTACCAAGTATCTGGAGAAAAGAGAAATAAGCCTTAATTGACTCAAACGGAAAGTAGAAAATTGGAGCTCGGCAACCATTTACTCCTTGAAAAATTGAGAATTTACTGAGAAAGAAATTCTCAGGGCTGCAAGCTAACAAAACATCCTAAATATTGCAAATATATTACTCCACAGTGGCAAAATGCAGGCCTTAACAAAGTCCAGTAGAGTTTGCAGTACACTAATTTGAATCCCAATTGGAGCAGACTTGCTATTCAACTAGATGTGATGAACATCCACAAACCCAACACTAAGCCTGAGTATTTATTGGTCAATTTACGGAAAAGGTGCTTTCCTCAAATCCATGGGCCTGAGCCTGAGCCATTATAAAACACTTTCCTGTTTGGATTGCTGCTTTCTGCATTTTCTGCACAATAAATGGTTCTGATTCACCACAAAGGTCACCATTAGATAAGATAATATTGGCTTTTAGATGCTAGGTAATATATGATAAAAGCTGTGAATTTCAGATAATGTACATGTCAGAGTTTTCGGTATTTTTTTTCCATTTAAAGTAGCCAATAGAGCTTTTCTAATCTAAAACTGCATTACTAGAAGGAGCAAAACTATTTGGAAAAACTAGTAGAGTGTTTTGTGCATTATGGATAGGCACTGGGTTTAATAAATGAGTTGTGTATGGACTGAAAAGGAGGTATTAATCCAGGTTCAAAAGTTTACTTCTAGAATAAAATACATACACTAAGGAAACTGACTCCAAAAAGTTGGTGACAAAAAAATCCTATCTATTAAGAATTCAGCCTCTACAAAATAAATTCTCAAAAATATAATCTCATCTGTGTCATAACTTCCAATCCTGATGCTCGAACCAAACATTTTCATCTTTTATTAACCACAAAACAAATAACTCTCCACCAGTGAGATGCTCCTTCCTTTAGCTTTAAGACTTGTTGCAAAGATTGATTTTTAATTATTTATGCCTATGATTCCAGTTAGTTTAATTATTCTTATTTTCATCATAGCATCAGCGATCACATGAAGACCCTGCAGCTCTGAAGTTCAGCTTCTACGAAGTAATCTCAGCTGGTCCCCATGCACCCTCCGAGCTTAGAGCCTTGCAGAAGAGATGTTTGGTCCCCGGGTGGTATGCCAGCCACATCGAGAGATGGCTTGTTTATTTCCCCCCCTTTCAGGTACTGAGCAATAAAAATTTATACTATGTTATACTCTCATTAAGCTGATGACTTTGCCTCTAGGATAGAGGAAGTTTTTAGTCATTACAATGTTACAAGCTTTTACTCTTTTGTTGTAAATAATGAGAGTACAACAAAGAATAATAGATAAATAGAGGTAGAAAAGCTGTTTCCTTTCTTTCTAAGAGTATTTCAGGATAATTCTCCTTGCTTTATTTTCTAGTACATAGCTTTCCTGATTGTGAAATGCTTCAGAAGTTTTAGAGCCCTTATTCTTATTCTGAGAAGAAAGATTGAGAACCTCTTAACTAAACAAGACAAATCTTGTTTTGCTCAATTAAGTGCCATTATTTTCCTTTCAAACCACCTTGTTCCATTTTCCTAAGTCCTATGTTTCTCTTGGCTTCCTTGTTCCTCTGTTTTGCCAGGCATCAACCTAGGTTATAAAATCAGCCCTTATAGAGAATTTCACAAGCAAACCAAGTACAACAAATGCAGTATATGTGTGTTTGCCTAGAATCGCACTGTTGAATATGATAGCTACCACAAATGGGTACTTAAATTTATTTTAAAGCTAAATAAAATTAAAAATGTTGTTCCTCTGTCACTTCAGTCACATTTCAAATGCTCAATGACCACATATTAGACAGAGCAAGTGTATAACATATCTGTCACCACAGAACTGGACAGTGCTGACCTAGACTAAATGGAGTACTGTTTTAGGGAAAGGTATGGGAAAGGGTTACATTGCAGGACTTGTGGCTTTCCATTATGGTCCCCTGTCACTTTATCTTGTAGAACCACTCCTCTCCCTCATCAGAGTATTAAGTCAGTGCTTCCCCTTAGTCTGTTGAACTTCTGTCCTCACTCAGGTTCTCTGAAAGTCTTGTATTCTTCTCCAAGGAGATCATCAGAGCACTTCTTTCAATGTTACTGGGCCACTCTTGAAAGGAAATGTGAAGAATAATGTGTCCTCCTCTCATTACATCTGGTCTTATGCACTCCTTTCTGGCTTGAATGATGGAATCATTATTTGGTTTGTTTTTAATCTTGGTTCCCACTTGTAATTTTTGTAGTCACATTTCTAAGCTGTCTTGGCCCCCTCCAATGGCTTCTTTGTTTTCACAGTGCCTGCAGTACTTCTCAGATTACAAAACATGAATGCATTTAATTGAGGTGACTTATTTCTTGTTCCAGGTCATTAATGAGGATGACCTGGTTAAGTCTAACAGCAATGTATATAAATCCCTTCAGGACCCTGTCCCTCCTTGAATAAGCTCAGAGTGTAGAAATTTTTCATTGTACAGTTAACATGCATTGTCTATTTTTGTTTATTTCTTTTGTAATTTAGTTGCTAATTATTGATGGGCAACAGCTAAGAACTGATCCAGCTACAGTGATGGATGAAGTACAGAAGTTTCTGGGAGTGTCTCCTCATTATAATTACTCTGAAGCTTTAACGTAAGTTCATTTTCTAATTAATTGATAGACGTGTCAACAGAGAACTGATTTTAAAGAAATTGTAGTTTAATGATGCAGTTGTCAAGGTAGCTATTTTCTTATGGTTGTTATTAGGCACCATTGAGTTCATTTTTTGTCTCATAGCAAACCCATGTGAGAGAGTAGAACTACCCCCATAAGATTTCCTAGGCAGAAAAGGTTTTTCTCCCACGGAGACAAATCACCAGCCTTTCTGTTAGAAGCCAGTTAACCATTGCACCAGCAGGGATCCCACCTATTTCCTTACATACTGATTATTTTCCAGTTTGACATTAAGCACTTGGGAAAGAATGTTTCAATAGTATGACAAAGAAATGTAATAAATCCTCTGCTGATGGCTAAATATGCCCTTGACCCATTTCATAATACCAGATTGCAAAGATTTCCTTGGAAGGAAATTAGGAAAACAAAACAGTTGTAATCCTAAAACAACAATGAACCCTAGAAGAGGCTACTTGAAATATAAGTTGGTAGTGACTGAGCCTACCTATAAGACAGTAAGTATTAAGGCCTTTTGTAAATATAAAGGTTAGGTAGTTTATGAGCCAACTCCTTTCTCCACTGTGCAATTCCAGAAATAACATCATATAGCAAGAAATTGCCCAAAAGGTGACTGGCTAGGCAGAGAGTAGTATTGCTACTATTATTACTGTCACCTCTCAGTGTAGTGGTTAAAGCATTTGGTTGCTAACTAAAAGGTAAGCAGTTTGAACCCACCAGCTGCTCCATGGCAGAAGGATGAGGCAGTTTGCTTCTGTAAAGATTGACAGCCTTGAAAACTCTATAGGGAAGTTCTACTTTGCCCTAAAAGGTCACTATGAGTCGGAATTGACTTGTCAGCCATAGATTAGTTCTCCTTCAGAGGGCTCAGCAGTTACAGGGCTTGTTTGTTATTCTTTTGCTAGTTCCTTCTGATTTTCTTAAATATTGAGCTCTGGTAGCATAGTGACTAAGGCATTTGACTGCTAACCAGAAGGCTGGCAGTTCAAACCCACCAGCCACTCCTCGGAAGGAAGGTTGGGCAATCTACTTTCCGTAGTGATACCACCTCAGAAACCCAAGGAAGAGTCGCTATGTGTCAGGTCTGACTCGATGGCACATAACAACAACAACCACAACAGAGCCAGAACTAGGGTAAAGGGAGAGGCACTGGGATTCAAAATTGAAGGAGGCATTCACTCTCAGGCATATGTAACTGCCCGCATGTAATCACTTACTTAAATTTTGTGTCTCCTGTCTCACCCTAGTCTTGGCACTGGGTTTTATTTAGTATCTAAGTTCTCCATTTTTCCTTGTCCATTTATAATGCCTGACAGTCACATTTATGAGAGTTGTGTTTGTTTCTATGGTCCATACATCGACCAGCTCAAAGCTACTGACTTGGATGGATCTTCCTCTATATTTATTTTCATTATTTTAGGCTCATAGACGAAGCCTACAAAAGACTCTGTTATATAATTTTCCATTATATTTCTCAGTATAAACCACCATTCTGTAGATAATGAATATTCCTATATCAGTACAGGAAGTGAGAAGCAGGTTTCCTTTAATTTCAGCATCCCTTGCAGTAAAATGTTTGGCAAGAAAACATAAACAGCTTATATCTTATATAAACTATATGAGGAGACACATGTAAGAGAGACTTTTGGTTTGGAGGACAAAGAAGTAGGTGAAACTCTGGAGTTTTGAGCTTCTGTTCCAAGAGTCATTTACTTTGTTGTTACTATTAACCTCTGATCTATGTCTTTTCTATATTACAAATAAGTTAACAGCTTAAGATTCAAGTACCAACACAGACACCAGCCTTAGGTATTTAACATTCAGCCTGACCTTAAAGAAAACTGAGTGATTTTAGATTGTAGTTAGAAATTCAAGTCTACCTTCTGCTTTATATATTTTTAAGCATCTTTTAGGGGGGAAAAAAAATAAAAGCTTTTGTTTTCTAAACAGTTTTCTATTTCTGTTGGCTTATCTTTGGGTCTTTTTTATAGAGTATCTAGCAAAGCATTGTATTTCAGAAGAAAGTATCGTATTCTGTAAAGACATAATCTCCTTTTTCTTTATGGCATGGTCCTTGACTTGCATGCTGTGTATTTGTCCCCTCTGCATCCAGCTCAGCAGCAAGCTTTTTATTCATCTCCACAACCAAGAAAAGGCAATGTTAAACTTCAGAGAATTAATATCAAAGCAATGTACTGTATACAAAGAACCATGGGTCACTTTGCACCTGACTAAAATTACCCATTATATGATTCTTTAACCTGGTTGGAGGCTCAGTGGGTGAAGTGGCAAGATAAGATATGTGTAGTCCTTGAAACCACAGTTTCCAGTCTAGCAGGGTTGCCCAAGGCCTCACCCTGCTGACAGAGATAATGTACTTCTACTCAGATTCTTTTTATATTTTCTTGTCAGTCATCAGTTGGCCTGACATACCTTATAAAAACCAGCAGTGCACCTGGTTGTAGAATATTTGGAAGTTTCATGTGATTGTCTTGGGTCTAAATTGTTCCTCCTTCACCTCATGCCCTCTGTGGTTGTTTATCTGAACGTGCTGTCACGGATGGAGTAACTGTTTCTATGGGAGGTCTGGTGGCACAGTGCCTAAGGCATTTGACTGTTAACCAGAAGGCTGGTGGTTCAAACCCACTAGCTACTCCTCAGAAGGAAGGTTGGGCAATCTACTTCCATACTGATACTGCCTCAGAAACCCAAGGAGGGCTTGCTATGAGTCAGATCCGACTTGACAGCAGTGAGTTTGGTTGGTTTTTTTGTTTTTTTTTTGGTTTTTGGGTTTTTTTTTTCCATAACTGTTTTGATAGTTTTTTCTCTTACACTTTGAAAATGGTAGGGATGACTAGGGGTTCAGAAATTTATGTTCTCAGAAATGCCATCTATACCAGTTGGCAAGAGATCCTGTGTACTTTGATATTGCCTATTGATTTATCTGCTAGTGACAGGGAAGACTACCACTTTGGTACAAAAGAAGAAAAAAAAAGTTTAATAAGTCCTCTAAGAATGTACTGAGCTGCCAATATATATGAATTCTTAACTCAGCACATAAATCCAGTGCTTTGCACACAGTAGAATGAATAGATGAAATTAAGTCTATACAAAAGTTTTACTATACAATCTTGGCATGAAAGAATTCTCAAATTTAAGAGCTTCCTAAACTAGTTATCTTCAATATAGCAAATTCCAATGTCAAAATTATTTTCAAGAAAAAGAGCAATAAGCTTCCATTGTAAAGTGTTGTTTATTCTTTTGCACAATCTCTAAAGAAAGTGTTCAAGATTTCAGAATTTCATACAAAGTTAATAGTTAGTCTGTGATGTCCTAAAAATGACTTAGTAATATCATTATTTCACAGTGGCTGCAACATTGAACTCAGAGATAGCAATGAGTGGGAAGATAGCTCAAGACCAGGTGACATTTCATTCTACTATACAGAGGGCCACGATGAGTAAAGCTGACTCAACAGCACATAACAACATCATCAGGATTTAAAATGATTTAGTGCATATGTAAGAGAACAAATATGATTTTCTTAGTGAGTATGAATCTGATTTGACATAAACAGTGTAATCTTCAAACTCTATATGAGGGAATTTTCTCACTCACTTATGTAAATTAACATTTTACCATTCCAATTCAACATCATCTAAATTGTAAATAGTCTTGATACACTGACATTACTGTAGTTGACTGCCATTGAGTCGAACTTGAGTCATAGCAACCCCTCCTTGGGTTTCTCAGTCAGTAGCTCTACGGAAGTAGACTGCCCAATCTTCCTTCCAATGATATAGTATTAAAACATACTGATCATTTGGGAAAAAACACAAAAAATAATGCTTAGCAAAGAATTCTGCTAATTTATGTAAATCTCAAAATAGACAATGAGAGTTTGAAGGCCGGAGATTGACTGGAGTTGTAATTGGTTTGGTTGGTTGCTTGGTTTTGTTTGGTGGATGAGGCTCAGTTATGTTGTAAAGAACTGACACTACTTCCAAATTCAGAAGGATTTCAATTGCTTTAATATCACACCCACAGGTAACCAAGTATGTATTTCTCAGGGTTCTTTCCCAGCTCACTTGAGATGAGTTTGAGTCAAAATGTGCCATATTAGAACATTTTTTAGTAGCAATAAATAGCCATGGTATCTATTATCTGCTAAAATCTATTGATTCCCCAGATGACCTGTGAAAGATCACCTAGGAATGCTAAGAAAGGAAAGAGAAGAAAATTGTCTACTGCGGTTTCTTTTGATGAATTTGTTTTTATAAGTGGTTGTAACATTTCAAAATCAGTATACTTTTGTATATTCCTAATATTTTACATATGTTGCCTCAAAATAACACTATGTGGTAGGTAATATTAGCTTCATTGTTTTTCAGATGAAAACACTGAGACAGATTAAAAATAAGCCAAAAGTCATTCAGTAAGTAAGTTCAGGAGGAAGGATTGAAATTCAGTCAGTCTAGCTCTGGAGCCTACACTGCTAAATTCTAAATTGGCACAAGATATTAGAACCAGAGAAAAACATTATTGTAATTTTTTACTAATGAATAGTGTATCAACTGGAAGTACTTCCTTCAAAAAAAAACCCTGAAACTACACATGAGCTTTTTAAGTTGTCTCAGACGTTATTATGAAAATAATCTATTTCCAGACACACTGAATATCACTTTGCATGATGTGTAATCATCATGGGTTGTTGTCAAGTCAATTCTAACTCATGGTAACTCCATGTGTTACAGAGTAGAACTGCTCCATAGGGCTTCCTTGACTTAATTGCCCACCTTTTCTTCCACAGTGCCACAGGGTGGATATGCAAATTAAAACCACATTATGGTACTACTGCATACCCATTGGAATGGCTATAATCCAAAAGACAAACAACATCAAATGTTGGCAAGAAGGTAGCAGAACTGGAATTCTCATATAACTACTGGGAATGTAAAATG